CTGGAAGCAGTGAACCACGATTTCTTCGCGCGGTGGGTCAGGCGGTCCTCGGCCTAGTCGCCGATTTCCTCGTTGACTTCGGCGTCGCCACGCTGCAGCAGCTGGTGGATGCTCACTCCTGCCCTACCACTACAGGGCAAACAACTGCAGATGGCGGTCTACATCGTGACCCTCAGCCTTCACATTCGCCCCCGATGACGGACGAGGCACATTCGGTCCCACAGGTGGATCTGGGCGTTTGGAAGCGCCTGGCCATCCCTGGCGAGATGGGAAGACCGCCTCCCCCTGATGACAGGGAGCAGGACGACTCCGAGGAGGAGTTCAGGGAGGCAGTAGCAGCAGGTGCTACCCGATGGATGCCTGACCTGTCGGACGCTGAAGCGGGAGGACGCTCATGGGGAGGATGGTGCGCCCCCTTCGTGATGGAGTGCTTGCGCCTTCCCCAACATACTACGCGGGTAGCAGCCGCACTCGCGGAAGGCAATTTCAACTCCATACGAGAGCTCGCCGACGACATCTGCAATGACGCATGGGGCCGCTCCTCCGAGAACCGAGCTGCCATCATCTCATACTTGGATTGGCTGGCCATACAAGACATGCCACTTTGGCGACGCGTGATCATCCAGCACTGGGACGAGCCCGAGGAGATCAGGAGCGAGATGAGAATATTACTGGGCGACAGGAGGATGCCTGACCACCTGCTCTACTACGACGACCAGCAGAGCGCCTACGAGGGGGAGTCTCTCTCTCTCTCTCTCTCTCTCTCTCTCTCTCTCTCTCTCTCTCTCTCTCTCTCTCTCTCTCTCTCTCTCTCTCTCATAAGTTTCAGGCCCTGCCTTCCTGTGATGTCGCCACGCCCTTTGCCAGGAGAGTGCGCCAGAAGGTCCCCCAGGATCCCAGGCCGTCTCAGACGTCTGATCCTGGCCTGGCTTTGGCGCCACCAAAAGGTCTTACTGGTGGTGTCGTGCTCTCGGGTTCCAGGGGTTCCCAGGGGACGTTTGGAGGACAGAATAATCTGGCGAAGAACGCGTCCAACATATCGGCTCGCACTGTCTCATCACCGCGTCGCCGAACACGCTGGACCCATCTCGCCAGACTGCTACGCCCTGGACATAGGCAGGACGTCCACACCGCCGAGGGCAAGCGGTGCTTCGACGGCGCCTGGGACATCATCCACCTAGCCTGCAAGCAGCCTCCCCTGCAGTGTCTCTTGTGCCTCCAGGCCTTCGCCAACATCATTATGCAGCACGCCGACCAGCTCGACAGGCAGCAAGGCTGGCATAGAGTTCGCAAGTTCAAGTCATGGGCACGTGACGCGATGGTCACTGGCCCCGCGCAGGTTTACTCGATCACCAGAGTGCAGCCGTGGGCCCATGCGCAGATCAAGCAGGGGAAGATCACGACGTCGCACCCGCAGGCGATCGCAGACAGCCAGATGGACAGCTGAAGAAAGATTTGGGAGGGAGAGCGCCGTGATGATGCAGACCTTCCTCGGTCGCTCGCTGATCATGAAGACATTGACCTCGTGGCAGCTATTCGCCATCTTCCCCCTGCGGCCCTGCCAGTACCGACGATTGCACAGACGAGAAGGGCAGCAACAAAATTCAGGTGGCGCACTGGGCTTGGAGCTGATGCACTTCCCCCGCGTGCCCTCTCCTTGGTATCGGACGCAGCTTTAGCCATGCTGATCTACATATACTGGGCTGCCGAAGCTTGGATGCGCTGGCCGACGGTCATGCTCAACGCCCACATCATGCTCCCTGCCAAGCCACAAGGAGGGTTTCGGCCGATTGCTCTTCTACCAGCGACGTATCGCATGTACACGAAGCTCAGACTTGCTCAAGTTCGGAGGTGGATCTCGCAGAATACCAGACCTTATTTTGCGTTGGGCACCCACAAATGTACACTCGATGTGGGAGCACGCACCATGATTTACGCTGGGGCCTACGCTCGTGATAAGCAAAGGGCCACCACCACGACGCTTGTGGATATCAGCAAGTGCTTCGACCGCGTTTGTTGGCGACGGGGGGGGGGTGGGTGACGGGAAGGGCGGGGGGCGGGATGGGCGGCGGGAAGGGGTTGGGGTGCGCGGTAGCCACACGACGACGGGGGGCGCGGCTGGGAGTGGGGGGCGGAGCGACGAACGAGGGGGGGCGGGGGGAACGGACGGCGGCGGGAGGACGGGGGACGCCGCGCGGAGGGGGGCGAGATCCGGAAGGCGGGACGTGGGGGGAGGCGGGGTGGTGGTTGCGGCGGAGTGCTGCAGGCCGCTGAACACTACGGATTTCCAACACAGATCCTGAAGCTCTGTCTGGCAATGTACTACGCCCCGAGGCGAATTAAGTGGACCACTTCTTTCTCCTACTCGTGCCAAGTCAGTAGGGGAGTGCCCCCAGGATGCTCGATGGCCATGTTCTTACTGCAGTTGGTCATGATGCTGCCTTTCGACGTATTCGAGAAATCCTTTGCCAACACCGACGAGGTACACCATTCGCTGGACATCTACGCCGATGACATCACGATCCAGGTGGTGGCCACGATGCAGGGCATTGTATACCAGACGGTGCGCATTCTGAAGAGGCTCGCAGCAGTTCTCAAGGCTCTTGATCTGCCTATTGCGCAGGACAAGGCGAAAGTGCTGGCCTCAGATTTTGACATCGCACAGCAGGTGGCGCAGCAGGTCCATCGGCACGGTTTTCGGCCTTACAGAACTCTGGATGTGCTCGGCATGGAGGCCAAAGGCGGACACATACTGAGCTTCGAAACGATTCGCAAGAGGGTGCGCAAGACGAAGAAGAGGCTCCCGCGTTTCAAGAGGCTCAGTGGTCTAGCCAAAATCGGACGAGCGGTGGCCCAGCCATGCATTGCCCCCGCCATGCAGTACGGCATCCAGATCGTCGGCGCCACCAAGACGCTGATCAAGTCGATGGTCAGCATGGTTCGAGTGGGCTGGCGGCGCACACCTCCAGGCACATCAGTTTGGTTGGCGGCTCAGCTAGAGCCGCGTTTCTTTGAACACCCTGAGATGATGGCGATCGTGGGCCCCCTATACACGTGGGCCATGCTCGTCCAAGATATCAAGGTGCCCAAATACGTCCTGGAGAAGGCCTTCCTGCAGCAGCGCCAGATCTTAGGACCTACCCCGAAGCACGCTGACGTGGCTGGCCCTGCTGGAGCAGTATTGGTGGCACTTCATACTCTCAACTGGCGTGCGACGACGGCGACGGCATGGACTACATGCGCAGGTACAGCCTTGGACCTCACTACTGACAGCCCTGAGTGGCTCAGGGCCCTTGCAAGACGGGGCTTTGTCAACGTGAAGTTTGAAGATTGGAGCCGCCAGCACGATCATGCGCCAGAAGACGAACCACCACTCAGGAGACCCTGTGGATACTGGATGGGCCCTCTCAAGATGCTGCTGGCGCCGAAGGAGCTGGCCAAGAAATGACACTTATCGGAGCAGGCTCGAGCAGCACTACGCAACTCAATCATAGGCGGCCAGTGGTCCCAGGCCCGACTACACAAACATGGATATGCCACGAATAATTTGTGTCAGTATTGCATGGACTGCCCTGGAACAGCACATCATCGTCTATGGTCCTGCCCTTCGCTCCAGCAAGAGCGAGAGGCCGCAGTGGACGCTGACATCATCCAGGCGGCCAGGGCCTCACCTCACAACGACCTCTTGTTCACCAGAGGCCTGATGCTGAGGGGCGCCCTGCCTGGCATACCGCCACCAGCCATGGAGGAGGCCTGGAAGTTCGCCCACGGAGGGGACATGACCATGCTGACGGGAGATATCTACACGGATGGATCAGGGCTCTCCCCCATAGCCTGGCCCGAAGCCAACAGAGCAGGCTGGGGAATCGCGATGATGACAGGTCAGGCTCTTCGTGGGATTGCGTACGGACCTCTCCCAGGACAACAGCAATCAGTTCCTCGTGCTGAACTATACGCTGTCATACAAGTGCTACGCCATGGGATGCTGCCGATACACATGCGTACGGACTGCCTGGGCACCGTGGAATGCCTCGCATGTGGGCCTGAGTGGTGCACGCACCCACGCAGGCCGAATTGCGACTTGTGGAGAATACTATGGCAGGTCATCCAAGATCATGGAGGTTTGTCCTCGCAGCTGGAGATCTCATACGTGCGATCGCACCAGACTCAAGGAGATGCCACAGTTGACAAGAAGGGCAATGACTATGCAGATGTGGCGGCAAAGAGGGGGCTGGCTATGCACGCGTTGCCGTCGGAAGCCATTCAGCTCCACTCGATCATGATCAACACTGTCAGGCAGGTTGCGTGCTGGATTGGGTCCTCGATGACGTTGGTTGGGAACCAGGACCGTCAGCCACCGCCTGCGCGCAAGCCACGCCGACGACTTCAGCGACGCCGTCGGCCTGGACAACAGCGGCCAGTTCTGACTACTAGCCAGCGCCTGCATGACATCAGGCCCACGCTGGCTGGAGGATGGAGATGTAAACATTGTCAGCGCTTCGCGCGGACGCCAACTGGACGTAAGCGCCTGGCCCTCGAGGTGTGTACAGTGCACCGCCCCTCGGAACCTCAGGCCCCCGAGCCCCAGTCCAGCCCTGAGGAGATCCCGCGGAACCCCCCCCTCGGCCCCCGTCAGGCCCCTAAGAGGCCTTTGGGCAGCCAAGACGGCCGAGGAGGCGGTCAGGACGAGGACGGCCCTGGGAGGAAGGCGCAGCGCGGAGATCCTCCCTCCTCCCCTACTTCGTCCTCCGACCCTCCTCCTCCTCCTCCTCCTCCTCCTCCTCCTCCTCCTACCCACCCGAGCCCTCGGGTTAGGATTGTGGGTAAGTCTAGGAGGCCTGAGGTCGAGGAGGCTGAGGCGTTCATCCGACCACCCCGTAGGGTCAAGCCGAGAGTGCAGTTTGAACCGCTTGTCCAGACGCGGGTTAGGGAAGCCGCGGTCGCCCTTGATCCCCCGATAGGCTCGGAGAAGCGCCCCAGGCTCGCGGCGGCCACTACGAGGGCCAACGCCGCCCCTCCCAGCACGGTGCTCCCTGCGGAGGGGACGGTCCCCCTACAGGCCTCCCGAGGCCATGTGCTCTACCGTGCTGGCGACGTGGTTGGATGCATGCGCTGCGGATCCTTTTCGGAGCGTGCCCACCGATCCCAGCTTTATAACGAATGTGAGGGCCCCAAGGCCTTTGAGGGCAACCCTCAGAGGAAGTGGAGGCGGAATAACTTTGCGGAGGGGCGGCACCCCAGCGAGGGCCGCAAACACCCCATCCCCCTCCCGCGGCGCATGTTGGTCTCGGACCCCGCTGTGGAGTGGCTTGGGCTAGCCTCATGAATTCGGTTCAACTCGTTTTGTTATTGTTGTTTCCGCGGGGTCTGGTGATTTGATCGGCCCCGTGCCCTGGTCAGCATCCTGGCCTCTCTCTGCGGCGCAGGCCCGTCGTCGGGCGTGCGCATGGGAATTCGTTTGGGCCTGCCCTTTCGTGTTCCCCACTCTTTCTGTGAGAGATTGTGCGTCCTCACCTTTTCCCAATCGTCTGCTCTCTGTCCTGAATCTCGACTCGGCGCGTCCCCTCATGCGCTCGCTACTCCTCCTCCTCCTCCTCCTCCTCCTCCTCCTCCTCCTCCTCCTCCTCCTCCTCCTCCTCCTCCACTTCTTCCCTCCTTTGTCCCGCCTCTGCACCTCCACCTCCTCCACCTCTTCCTCTCCATCCTCCTCCTCCTCCTCTTTGTCTTTGTCTTGCTCCCTCTCCAGCGTGGGCCGAGTCAGGGCAGGATGTGGCCGCGGTCCCCGCCCGGGGCCCCGACGCACCGACGACGACGACGCCGGCGCCGACGACCTCGGCAGTCACACATAGACATCTGCTCCGGATGCGTCCCTGGACCCCTTCTGGGGTCTGTTCGGTGCCGTTCTTTTCCTCGGAACCTCTGGGGATCCTGGGGCGGGTGCCCGGGTGCCCGTGTGCCCAGGTGCCCGGGTGCCCGGGAGTGCCCGGGGGGGCCCGGGGGCCCGGGGGGGCCCTACAGCCATACAGCCCTGTAGCCCTATAGCCCTATAGTTCTATAGCCCAATAGCACTATAGCCCTATAGCTCTACAGCCCTATAGCTCAATAGGCCTGTAGCCCCTTAGCCCTAAAACCCTGATTGGGCTTTTCTCATGTATCATACGTATGTATGTATATATGTATGTATGTATGTATGTATGTATGTATGTAGGTATGTATGTATATATCTATCTTTCTATCTATCTATCTATCTAGCTATCTATCTATCTATGTATGTATGTATGTATGTATGTATGTATGTATGTATGTATGTGTGTATGCAGGTGTGTATGTAAACATGTTGATTTGCTTGTTTGTTTGTGTGTTTGGTGTGTTTGTTTATGTGTTTGTTTGTTTGTTTGTTTGTTTGTGTGTCCGTTTGTTTGTGTGTTCGTTAGTTAGTTTGTTTGTGTGTTTGTTTGTTTGTTTATTTGTATGTATGTATATATATATATGTGTATATGTATATATATATATATATATGTATATATATATATATATATATACATATATATATATATATATTCCCGTGCAAGAGGCCGTGGCGCCCGTGGCGGCGACTCGACGGCGCATGGGGGACTGGGGCCTTTGGGCTCCCCCCCCCGAGCCCCGAAACGCCACCCGAGAGTCTCAGGAGGTCTCCAAACGTCCAAGAGGGCCCAGAATCCCCGAATTGTCATTCCAAGACGCCGAAGATGGCTCCAAGACGGCCTCCAGGAGCCCCCACGACGGCCCAAGAGTCCCCCAAGAGGACTCCCAAGAGCGCCTCCAGAAGCAAGAAAGGCCCCATTCCTTCCGGAAAACGTGCATTTTTACGATATTCACATCTTCGGCGTCGACCGCGTCGAAGACGGCCCCAGGAGCCCACAACATCGCCCCAAGACGGCCAAAGAGAGTTCCAACAGGCCTCCAAGACAGCTCTAGAGGAGCCCTCGACTATCCAGGAGGCTCCCAAGACGGTCCCAGAGGGCCCCGGGGGGCCTCTGGGCCCCCCCCGAGACAGCCCCAGACAGCCCCGAAACGACACCCGAGAGTCCCAGGAGGTCTCCAAACGTCCAAGAGGGCCCAGAATCCCCGAATTGTCGCTCCAAGACGCCGAAGATGGCTCCAAGACGGCCTCCAGGAGCCCCCACGACGGCCCAAGCGTCCCCCAAGAGGGCTCCCAAGAGAGCCTCCAGAAGCAAAAGTGGCCCTAGTCCTTCCGGAAAACGTATTGTTTACGATGTTCATCGCTTCGGCGTCGACCGCGTCGGAGACGGCCCCAGGAGCCGACAAGATCGCCCCAAGACGGCCAAAGAGAATTCCAAGAGGCCTTTAAGACGGCTCAAGAGAGGCCCGCGACTGTCCAGGGGGCCCCCAAGACGGGCCAGGAGGGCCCCGGGACAGTTTCCCCCCACACAGCCCCGAGGGGTACCCCACCCGACACTCGAGCCTTCCTCGCCAAAAAGCGCCCTGGAGACCCCAAGAAGCCTCCAAGCGCCCCCGAAAAAAAACTCAAGGCTGGCACCCGGGCACCCGGGCGTGCGGCGAAAATCGGCGGCAAACCTAACCTAACCATATGAATCCGTAGGACCCCTACAGAGGCAAGCTCTGATTGGGGAACATCCATACATACATACATACATACATACAGACAGACAGACAGACAAACAGACATACGTACGACCACCCTGCGGGTGAGAAGGAGGTTGTGGGTGGGGGAGGGCGAGGGGGGAAAACCAACATCTGACTCAATCGATCTCACCATCGATCTCACTCAACAAGATACCACGGGACACCACGGGACACCACGGAACACCACGAGACACGTCGATCTCACTATCGGTCTCACTATCGATCTCACTCAAAGGGACCGCGGGACACCACGGGACACCACGGGACACCTCATCGATCTCACTATCGGTCTCACTATCGATCTCACTATCGGTCTCACACCACGGGACACCACGGGACACCGCGGCACACCTCTCGATCTCCCTATCGGCCTCACTATCGATCTCACTCAACGGGACACCATAGGACACCACGTGACACCACGGGACACCACGGGATACTACGGGACACCACATCGATCTCAGTATCGATCTCACTCAACAGGACACCACGGGACACCACGGGACACCACGGGACTCCTGTCGATCTCACTATCGATCTCACTACACCACGGGACACCTCGGGGCACCACTTCGATCTCACTATCGATCTCACTATCGATCTCACTATCGATCTCACTCAACGGGACACCACGGGACACCGCGGGACACCACGGGACACCGCTGGGCACCGCGAGCCACCGCCGGACGGACGGACGGACGGGCGGACGTGGGATAATCATTTCGGACAACAGGGGACACCACGGGACACCACGGGACACCGCGAGCCACCGCGGGCCACCGCCAGACGGATGGACGGACGGGGGAGAATCATTTGTCTTGACTTCGCCCTGGCATCGGCGGACTCCACGGGACACCACGGGACACCGCGGGCCATCGCGGGCCACCGCCGGACGAACGGACGGACGGGGGAGAATCATTTGACTTGACTTCGCCCTAGCAACGGCGGGTTCATTCCTCTCGCGCGCCCACGCAGCTTCGCCTCGCCCCTACGCACGACAAGAAAGAAACGAAACGATTTCCCGCTTGGGGGTCTCCGTTCCACTGCGATCTCACCTCCTAACCTCCGACATCTACGTACCTAGACGACCACCCTTCGGGTGATAAGGAGGGTGTAGGGGGGGTAGAAGGGGGAACCAACATCTGTCTCAATCGATCTCACTATCGATCTCACTCAACAGGACACCACGGGACACCACGGGATACTACGGGACAATTGTCGATCTCACTATCGGTCTCAGTATCAATCTCACTCAACGGGACACCACGGGACACCACGGGCAACCAGGGGACACCACGGGACACCTCATCGATCTCACTATCGGTCTCACGATCGATCTCACACCACGGGACACCACGGGACACCGCGGCACACCTCTCGATCTCCCTATCGGTCTCACTACCGATCTCACTATCGATAGCACTCAACGGGACACCATAGGGCACCACGTGACACCACGGAACACCGCGGGACACCTCGGGGCACCCAACCGATCCCACGATCGATCTCACACAACAAGACACTACGGAACGCCACGGGACACCACGGGACCATTCTCGACCTCACTATCGATCTCAGTATCGATGTCACTTTTTGGGACATGGTGTCCCCATGATGATGACGATGATGATGATGATGATGATGATTCCGATGATGTTGGTGATGGCGATGTTTATGGAAAAGGGTGTCCCGGCGATGATGATGTTGATGATGATGATGAGGTTGATGATGATTATGGTGTCCCGGCGATGATGCGGATGATGATGATGATGGTGATGATGATGGTGATGATGATGGTGTTCCAATGATGATAATACTGAATATGACGATGTTGATGATGATGTTGCTCATGATGATGATGGTGCCCCAATGATGATGATGTTTTTGATGATGATGATGTCGATGATGATGATGCGATGAACATGATGGTGACGATGTGCCGAAGATGATGACGATGTTGATGATACTGTTGATGATGAGAACGACGGTGATCATGATGGTGTCCCGATTATGATGAAATGTATGGTGATGCTACTGATGATGATGACGATGACTGTCCCGATGATGATGATGTTGATGATGGGATTATGACGGTGATGATGATGATGTCCTGATGATGGTGATGACGTTCGTGATTATGTTTATGATGATGATGACGGTGCCCTCATGATGATGACGATGTTGGTGTTGCTGTTGATGTTGATGATGTTGCTGATGATGGTGATGATGACGATGACGTTGATTGTGAGAGCGGTTGTGATATCGATAGTGAGATCGACATTGGAACCGAATGCGAGATTGATTGTGTGATCGATTGTGAGATCGATTGTGAGATCAACTGTGAGATCGATCGAATGAGATAGATCGAGTGAGATCGATTGTGAGATCGATCGGGTGAGATCGATCGAGCGAGACCGATAGTGAGATCGATACTGAGATCGATAGTGAGACCGATCGAGTGAGACGTTGGTTCCACCCCCCCCCGAACCTCCTTATCACCCGAAGGGTGGTCGTATAGGTACGGCTATAGGGCTATAGGGTTATAGTGCTATAGGGATATATGGCGACTGGGCTACTGGGCTATAGGGAAATAGAGCTATTGCGCTAGGCACCCCCGGGCGCTTCTGGGCACCCCGGGCACCCAGGCACCCCTGGGCTCCCGGGCGCCCCCGGGCGCCCCCGGGCAACCGGGCACCCGGGCACCCGGCCACCGAAATCGGCCACACACCTGCATGGGCACCCGGGCGCCCCCGGGAACCACCGGGCACCCGGGCACCCGGCCCCGGCCACCGAAATCTGCCGCCCACCTCGCCTCAGCTACATATCCGCTAGGACCCCATACAGAGGCAAGCTCTGATTGGGCAAATACGCAGGCCAAAAAATTAGTCGATCCGAGCTTTCGCGTTAAACGGGCTTAACATGGGAGGGGTCTCGAAACCCCACTGGGAGGGGCCTCGTACATGACGACTATGATGGTGTTCAGGCGTTCCTCTCAGAGCATGCGCACAATTGGTTGGCCACAGAACTTTGCGATACATGCCAGCGAGAACGCCCTCACGGATCTCTGCTGACCCCTCCTTCGGCAAAATGCAGCTATAGATCCACCGAAATCCTCACCCCCGTAGTTCCACTGTTTCGCTGGCTCGCCGCCTTCCATGCAGAGCTCCAGAAACATGTGCATTCTCGGTTTGACTTTGAAATGCGCTGGGAGCGCGTCTTCCAAAGCGGCCACCTGCGCGGCAAATTCCGTTGACCGCCCACGGAGAATGTCCGCGGCAAACGGGCGGTTGTCAGACAGCGCGTCGTAAGACCGACTCAAGCTTGTCATCGCAGCGTGGACAGACGATTATACAACTGCCCGCTGGTCGGCGCCATCCCGGCGATCAAGGAATGCATCCGCGATCGCCATCGCCCATGGAACCATGTGCCTGAGCACCCCCGCGCCGAGCCTCATCTCAGCCGTCTTCGCCTTCTTCCCCTGCGCGACGCCACGCGTCAGCTTCGGCAAGCGGCTGGTCTTCTCACCTGGCGGCTGCCTGTCGTAGAACGCCATCAAATGACGATGCAGCGTCAGCACGCGGGCTTTCTGGGCAGCGCCAGCAACCTTTCTGCGCGTTACGAGGTACCAGACCAAAGCGCCGGTGAAGTCAGCCGCCGCTCTAAGGTCAACGACGCCCAGCCAGTCTAACTTCAGCAACCTTTCGCTTGCAAGCGGCACTTGGAAGAGGGCACACAGTCGCGCCCGAAGCGATGATCTCCCCAATGATGTCCGACCACGCGCGGCGATGCGTTCCCCGCGGCGCGTCTCTCCCAGTCTGCGACTTCACTTGAATGCGGGCTTCTGAAAGCGGTGGCGCCCCCTCTTCCTCTACCTCATTATGCTCCTCCTCCTGGCCCCCCTGCTCCTCCACGTGCCCCCCCTTTCCCCCCTTCTTCTCCTCCTGCTCCTCTTCCTCCTTCTCCCCCTGCCCCTCCTCAGCCCGCCCTCCCCCTCCCCCTCCCCTCCTCTTCCCTTCCCCGCCCTTCTCCCTGCCCGTGGCAGGTGCCGCAAGACGACGACCCCCTCCGAAATGGGCGTTTTCATCCATAAGCCCCCCCTCCCGATGGGGGATTTTCATCCGTAAGCTCCCCTCCAAGAAAGGATATTGACCCATAAGTTTCCGCGATGATTTGGGCGCCCACGGGCCTCGAACTTCTCGACGTTGCGCAGGAGGCAAACCTCCTCGTCCTGCCAGCCAAGTAATTGGAGCACCTCCTTCATCATCTCCCAGTCCCCCTTGATCTGGCAAAGCACCCCGCCAATCTGTAAAGAACCCCGCTGCCGCTTCCTCCAGGCGTCTGTCGCGTCGACAAAAGGGAGCCCGTCGCGCCGCGCCGTCAGCCAGCGCCTCGCAGCAAGATAACTGAACACCCACTGCACTACAGCAAAGATATCAGCAGATGTGTTGGGGCCAACATGTTCTTTGAGGAACGCAGCGAGCGGCGCCCGCGCGTTTTTCCAGCTGCCTGCAGCCCCCAGCAGCATGGTGCCGATGATTTCTGTGCTCATCGACCGGTCCCAGAAGCAGGGGGCTCCGTTCTGCCACGCGCCCAAGGCCACGATATCGTCGCAACCGCTCTCAACCCTCGCATCCTGCACGCGGCGCAAAGACACGCCGTCGAGATTCGATGTCTCCAGAAGCACCCTCCGATCGCCAGAATGACGCAGCTTAGACAGGACCCCGCGTGGAAGCAGCATCGCAATATCCATCAGCTGCTCTGTTTCAGACTTGGGGTCCCAGCCCCTCACCTTGCAGTGATGCAGCGCAGGCCACCCCCTCTTGAAGAATTCGCGCCTGAATTTCCTGGCTGCGTTTTTCATGCCCAACGTGGTCTCAGAGGTCTGCAGGTCGGCAACGCCTGTCGCAGACGCAGAGACGGCGTCATTGATCAACTGCGCACCGCGCTGCCCGCTGATCACGTTGCTGCTGACCAGGTCCTCCGCAGTCGCTCTCAGCCGCCTCTGCGGTGGCAACTGCAGCCTTTCGTAGGGCAACTTACGCTTGGAAAGCATGCCGGCGGCCCTCGAGCCCCCCCGCGGGAGGCGAGTGCGACTGCGGATATGCCTTGAGCCAATGCTACGGAAGCGAACGGATGACCATATCTCTGCACCGCGCCTCTCCTGGAGGGATTCCTTCAATCCCGTAGCTCCGCCTCCTCATCCGCGCGCCCCTTTCCGCCCCCCTCGCCCCTTCCTCCTCCGCCCACGACGCGTCTGGTCCCAGAACCTGCCTTCCTTCTCCTGCAATCCTCCATTCGCTCTCCGTCTGCTCTCCCCCCCACCCTCCTGCGCCCCCCCCCCCCCCCCCCCCCCTCCGGCGAGGGATTTTCTTCGAACCGGGGCAGGCAGAAAAACGCGCGGCCCCTCACGAGGGGGGCCCCTGCGAGAAAGAATCGTGGCGCGTTATGTGTGTGCATGTGTCGACGCACAGGCTGCAATGAACGTTATAGCTGTATCGGGCGAGGCAATGCTTCCCACCCTACATATGAAAGTTATCTATGGATATGCATCGAGGCCCACGCAGATCAGTTGAGGAACTTCTTGAATCGCTTGGGCGACAGCTGAATCCCCTCGTACACGTGCTCCATCGTGCTGTGGGCGGCAACGGCCTCGCCCTTCAGCTGCACGTGCATCTCCGCATCCTTGCCGGCGGGAGAAACGTGGTCAATTTTGGCAATGAGGATATCCACGTTCGCCTCGTGGTCATCCGCATTCTTCACGCACTTCTCGCATTCAACCGCCCAGTTCTGGAACTGAGCGCGGCCCGCTTGATCCTGATACCCAGCCTTCGCGAGCAACTGGTTCTTCGTGTGTTTCAACTCCTTCAGCTGCTTCTGATACTTGAGGAGCGTTGACCTCAGCAGGGGGCAAACGACAACATCCGCATTGGCGAAAAAACGGGCGGCCCCCTCCAGGAGGGGCATCATGCGAGACGGAGGAAACCACCCCCTATCTGCGAGGGGTCTGGAAGAACAGAAGAGGGGTAAGTGCCGAGGGAACGGCTGCCGAGGGCCGCACGCGCGCGATCTCGTCCTTCTTGCCGGCGATATGTGGCCAGCGCGGGTTCTCGAGCTTCACCTCCCCCTCCGCTGGCCCAGCAGAGCTGGGCGAAGGAAGCTGAGCCATCCTGGAGCCCGCTGCTTCGAGCTGTTTCATATTCTTCAAGTTGGCTGATCCCTTTGAAGGTGCGCGAATCCTTCGCCACGAGCTTGGCATCGCCCACGTTGCGCACCACGAAGTACCATTGCTTCCAAAGAGGCCTCTTCCTTTCATCTTCCAGTACAGGATATTCTTCTCCGGTGCCATGCTCAGCGCTATCCCCACACACACACACACACACACCACCACCAGTCCTGCACGAAGGCCATGGCCTCCTCGATGTGCTTAAAATCTCTGATGCCGAGGTCCTTCAGAGCCAGCGCCTGCGATGCGTTCTGGTACCCCCTCTTGCCAGACCGGGCGTGCACCTCCTCGTTCGTGCAATGCTCTTCGAAGGTGGCCATCCAATCTAGCGCCTTCTCCTTATCACTTGCGAAGCTCTGCAAGAAGCGCGCCCGATCGCATGGGTCTGTTATTCCGTTCCACATGGCCTGCGCTGCTTGGGCTGACTCTGCAGTGGACGTAGGTTTGCCGTCGGCGCCCTCCCTCTCGGACTGGTAGCGGAGCCACGACCTCATTTTGTCTGCCTCGACCTTGTCGAGCCCGCTGCCCTTCGGAGCAGCCCTCGATTTCTTTGCCGCTGCGCGGCCTGGCTTGTCGTCGGTCTTCTTTTTCGGGGCCATGCTGCACAACGACGCGACGAGGGTGCTCATCAGGAGCAGAGGGGCGACGCCGGCAGGGCCGCCCATGGCTGCCGCGAGCGCAAACGCACCCAGCACTGGCACTCGCAAAAGCTTGGGCAAGCCCCATTGGCCTACAGCCTCAACAACTGCGAACGCATTGCAAGTTCATCGTCGCCGTCGTCGGCGTCGCCGAGGCACCCCCTCGAAGAGGGGTTCGCCCCCCCCCCCCCCTCAAGGGGTTCCGCGCCCTCGCGGTCGTCTCCTTCTCCTCCCAGAGGGGCCGTTTCATCGCTCACGGCGGTGCGGGTTCCCCCACAAAGGGGTAGCGCGTTCCCTCAAAAACGACTCAAATCCCCTCGCGCTCGTTCTCGCAAGCCCCCCCCCCACCCCACCCCGCCCCACCCCCCACCCCCTCAGCAAGGGGCCCGCCACGGCCGCGCCACGCCCCGCCCCCTTTCAGAAATGAGCACCTGCCCCTCAACAAGTTATGTGGCAGACTATGGTCCCTTGCCGTGGTAACATGATCGCCCTGCGAGTGACGATTTAGTGGCGCTTAGTGCGCTTTCTGCGCCTCTGAACGGCGCCAGCGCACGGTCGGGTCATCGCCCCCGAAGGCCTCGGGGGGAGCGCCGCGCCGCACGCTGGGCGGCGAGCCTGGCGCCCCCCAGCCGGCGCCTCGGCGGCACCCTGGCGGGCGCCCCGCCAAGCAAACTACTGCGCTCTGGCGCCTCTATGCGTTCGCGCACGCTAAGGAACGCGCGGCCTCCCCGCCACGACGACCGCGACGACGACGACGACGACGCCGCCGACATCCCCTGGGCACTGGGTCGCTGCCCTGGGGCCGGGCATCCCCTGGGCACTGGGTCGCTGCCCTGGGGCCACTGCGCCCCGGCCGTCGGCGACGAGGGCGACCCAGGGCGGCCCACCACAAAGGAGGGCAGCAGAAACGTCCCGAAAACCTCGATCCTGGAAGCCTCCTCCTCCTCCTCCTCCTCCTCCTCCTCCTCCTCCCTCCTCCCCCTTCCTCTTTCCTCCCCCTCCTCCCCCTCCTCGCCCCTCCTCTCCTGGACCCTCCCCCCTCCTGCCTCTTCCTCCTCCCCTCCATCCCTTCCCTCTGCTCCTCCTCATCTCCTCTCTTCCCCCCCTCCTCCCCTCCCCCTCCTTCTCCTCCTCCTCCTTCCTCCTCCTCCTCCTCCTCCTCCCCCTCCTCCTCCTTCTCCTTTCTCCTCCTCCTCCTCCCCCTCCTCCTCCGCCTCCTCCTGCTCCCTGCTCTTTCCTCTCTCCTCCTCCTCCTCCTCCTTCTCCCTCCTTTCCTTCTTCTCCTTCCTCTTCCCCCTCCTCCTCCGTCTTTCTGCCTTCTCCTTCCCCGCCATCCTCGTCCTACTCCTCCTCTCCTCCTCCTCCTCCTCCCCTCCTTCTCCCTCCTCTTACTGTTCCTCCTCCTCATCCTCCTCCTCGTCCCTTTCCTCCCAGTCCTCCCCCTACTTTTCCTCCTCCTTCGGGCGCTTCTTCTCTGGGCCTCCCTTCTCCTTCTCCTCCTCCTCCTCTCCTCTCTCCTCCTCCTCCTCCTCCTCCTCCTCCTCCTCCTCCTCCTCCTCCTCCTCCTCCTCCTCCTCCTCCTCCTCCCCCTCCTCGGCATTGCTCGGCCGTGCTCGCGAGCGGCGAGCGGATCCGCACCCTCGCCCGCGCAGTTTGGGCTCCGGGTGGCGATCTCGCGGGCACGCGGCCGCACGGACAAACCCTCTGCGCGGGGCCTCCGCGAGCACGGCGCCCGCAGCACCCGCGGGGGGCCGCAGCCCCGGGGGCCCGCCCCGGGAGGCCGCGGATACGGATGCGGACGCGTGTGCTTCGCCCGCGCGCCGTGCACTGCCGTCGGCGAGGCCGGCGCCAGGAAGTCCAGACCGTCTTGGGTGATGGGCAAATTTTCCACCACCACCACTACCAGACGCAGGAGGAGGGAGGATGAGGAGGTCCTCCTCCTCCTCCTCCTTCCTCCTCCTCTCCTCCTCCTACCTGTAGTAGTGGTGGTGGAAAATGGGCCCATCATTGGGGCATCTTGGACCTCGGAAGGGCCCTGGAGCGCTGGCGACGGGCCTGAATGAGGTCGAAGCCGATTTCGACCTCATTCGGAATAAGCTCCGTGCCCGAAAACGAATCAAACGGAAGCGCCGGCATGGCCCACGGGGGGGGCGGCCCTCGGCGGCCCTGGACCTCGGCGGGCCCTTGCAGGGCCGCGCTGCGTTTCTCCGTCGTCGGGGCTTGAGAGGCGGGGGTCGGTGCAAGCGGGGGTCAGCCAGGGGGCCGGATCCTGCGGGATCCTGCGAAGACCCCTTCTGGCTGACCCGGGGCGAGCGAGCCGCTCGTGGCCGCGAGGCGGCCGCGCATATTGGCCGACCCGGGTTTGCGAAGACCTGCGATGCAGTTTTTTTTGTTCCTGCATTGCAGTTGTTTGGTTTCCTGCTGACCCGGGTCTGGATTGACCTGGGTCAGAGGATCCCCGAAGTCTGTCTGCCGGCTCCAGCTTTGTTTCTGTGCTGGCTCTTTCGCCGTTCTGTTTTTTTTAGTTCTGGCTCGGGACGGAACTGCTGGCAGTTCGGCTCATGGCCTGCATCGGCGCTTGGCTCCTCGTCTTCCCTGTGAGTCCTTTCGAATTTTGCTAGCTTTGGTGGCTTGGGCCGCCTGTAGATGCAGCTGTGTTTTCCTGTGGGGCAGGGGGTCACCGCGCTTCACAATACCCTTCAGTGTTTCGTTTGGCTTGCAGTTCTCTTGTCTCCCGCCCCTTGCTGCTGCGCGCTGCTTTTTCGCTCGCCACCGTCCTGCTTGCTTGCGGCTGGCTGTTAACTGCAGTTTCCTGGTCTCCCTCCTTCATGCTCTGCTGCCTCCTCTCTCGCGCGCTTTCTTGCTCCCCTCCGTGCTGCTCTCGGTTCTTCCTCTTCACTCTTTGCCGCCTTTTCCCTCTCGAGGGTAGATCGTTCAAGCGAAAAGATCCTCGTTCAAGCGAAAACGCAGCCAGCGAAAACTACGTGGATAGACGCAGGTAGACACAGGGTGATACAGAGGGACACAGAGGGACACTGGGGGACACAGGGGGACACAGAGGGACACTGAAGGACACAGAGGGACACAGAGGGACACAGAGGGACACAGAGAGACACAGAGGGACACAGAGAAAAACAGAGAAACACAAAGGGACACCGAGGAACACAAAGGAGCACATCAAACTCAGGAAAACGCAGAGAAACAGAGAGGGACACAGAGGGACACAGAGAGACACAGAGGGACACAGAGAGACACAAAGGGAAACAGAGAGACACAGAGAGACACAGAGAGACACAGAGAGACACAGAGAGACACAAAGAGGCACAGAGAGATACAGAGGGACACAGAGAGACACAGAGGGACACAGTGAAACACAGAGGGACACAGGGAAACACAGAGGGACACAGAGGGACACAGAGAGACACAGAGGGACACAGAGGATACAGTGAAACACAGAGGAACACAGAGGGACACAGAGGGACACAGAGAGACACAGAGGGACACAGTGAAACACAGGGGACACATAGGGACAAAGAGAAACACAGAGGGACACAGAGGGACACAGGGACACTGAGGGACACAGAGAAATACAGAGGGACACAGAGGGGCACAGCTGGGAACCGGGATTTCGGGATTTTTTAGGCTCGATCTCTCCAGAATTCCGGTTCCCGCCATCCCGGCGGTCGCCGCCCGTAGGGGCGGGCGCTTGGGGCGCCTGACAGAGCCGGGAGCCAGGATTTCGGGCTGATCTGGCTTCGATCTCTCAAAGTCCCCGGTTCCCGCAATCCTGGCGGTCGCTGGTCGCGGGGGCCCGCGGGGGCGGGGCGCATAAGCCAGACTGGCGGAAGGTCTTCGCAAACAGTGAAGCCAACAAGCTCCACTCACGGATCCCCTGCGGCCCTGCGCGCACCCCACCTCCGAGCTTTCTGGGCGATTTTGCGAAGGCGTCCCGAGCGAGGGCGCGGGAGGCACCGGGAACCGGGATTTCCGCGCCTTCCGGGCAGGTGCTCTGCAAACTCCCAATTCCCGCCAGCCGCGGGGCGCAGGGGCGTGGAAATCTGAGCTCCTGGCGCCCCTGCGCCCCGCGGCTGGCGGGAACCGGGATTTTCGTTGGCTCCTATGTGGGACCTGTGGAAATCCCGGTTCCCGCCAGCTGCGGGGGCGTGGAAGTCTTGACCCGTGGCGCCCCTGCGCCCCGCGGCTGGCGGGGATTGCGGTGAGCTCGTGTCCAGAACGTGCAGAAATCCCCGTTCCCGCCACCTGCGGGGCGCAGGGGCATGACACTGTCGTGCTGACATCCCGGTTGCCCCCAGCTGCGGGGCGCAGGGGCGTCGAAATCGGTCCCTGGCGCCGTTGCGCCCCGCGGCTGGCGGGAACCGGAATTGTGAGCTCCTGCCTGGATCGCTCAGGAATCCCGGTTCCCGCTAGTCGCGGGTGCGGGAGCAGCCGAGCCGAAGAGGACGAGGAGGACGAGGAGGAGGACGAGGTGGAGGAGGAGGAAGAGGAAGAGGAGGAGGAGGATGAGGAGGAGGAGGACGAGGACGAGGACGAGGACGAGGACGAGGACGAGGACGAGGAGGAGGAGGAGGAGGAGGAGGAATAATAATAAGAAGAATAATAAAAATACACATGATAACAACAATACTAATAAGACAACTAAGGATAAGAGAGAGAAGAGGAGGAGGAGGAGGAGGAAGAGGAGGAGGAGGAGTAAGAGGAGCAGGAGGAGGAGGAGGAGGAGGAGGAGGAGGAAAGCGAGGTCGAGGGGTATATCAGAGAAGAGGGGCCACGAAGAGGCTCAGGGAAGAACTCGCAGCGCTTTATCCCTTTTCGCGCGCACGCGCCGAAAGGATTTCGCTCGAACGGCTTCAGTTTTCACGCGCACCGTTTTCGCGCGAACGGCGCACTCGTTCCCTCTCCCTGCTCTTGCTGCTGTCCACGCGAGGCGCTCAGTTTTTCTCTCTTGGCTACCTGGGCCGTCTAGTCTGCACCACGACGCCGTGGGGTTTGGGTTGCGCGGGGCCTGTCCCTCTACAGGGGGAATATTGTTGACGCTTCGCGTATCCCCACCAGCGTCGGGTGCAAACCGGCTCGGTTGGGTTGCGCTGAGTCACTTTGGATGTGCACACGTTACGCGACCGTGTATCGTGCACTACTGCGCCCCTCCACTTGATGGATCTGGGCTGTCGCATCTCAGTTGTGGAAGGTTCTCCTGTCATCATGCTCCACACCCTGGATGCGCGTTCTGGCGTCGCGACTCGGAGTCGCCGTCAGGATTTTCCGCTGGACTTACGTCCCCAGTCAGTCTGTACTACCCGTCTGACTCCCTGGATCGTTGTCCTCGGGAACGTTCCTTTGTTCGCAGTTGGATTTCTGGGAACGCCTCTCGCGCCATTTTGGCTGCGCTTGGTCTCCTCGGTGCCTGTCCTCAGGCCCCCTGGGTGCACCCCTGCATGCCCGTTCTGGGGCTGTATCAGGCTCCCTGGACTGCACGTCGGCTTTGCCGCCCTGGGCGCTGCCCCCTCCCCGCCGCCTGATCCGCGGCCCCCGCGCGCGCTCGGCAATTTAGTCGCGGCCGTAGCCCGCCCGCGACCTCCCGCCGCTGGCGCTTCCGCCTGCGGCTGTAAAAAAAAAGTATCCCCACCAGCCCATCCAGAAACGATGCCCAGGGGAGTTGAGGTGATCAGGGAAGTCGGGGAGCATGCAGAATAACAAAGGGCGGGGGAAGCTGTCACGTACCCCAAGAGGGGGTGGATGGAGAAGGAATCCTCGTCGGAGGGGGAGGGGGAGGAAGAAGAGGAGGAGGAGGAGGAGGAGGAGGAGGATGAGAATGAGGAGGAGGATGTGGAGTTCGGAGAGGACGAGGAGGACGAGAAGGAGGAGAAGGAGCAGAGAGAGGAGAAGGAGGAGAAGGAGGAGAAGGAGGAGGAGGAAGAGGGGGATGAGAAATTGAAGAGGACGGCGAACCGAAGAGCCAGAAGCGTCTTAAATCAGGAGCTCCAAACATCTCCTCTTGGGGCGCTCTTGGGGCGCTCTTGGAGCGCTCTTGGGCGCTCTTGGGGCCGTCTTGGGGCGCTCTTGGGCCTCTTGTGGGGCCCTCTTGGGCCATCTTGGAGCCATCTTGAGGCCTTGGATGGCCATCGGAAGCGAAACGGGGAGAAAGCCAAAAACATTGATTTCCTCAAGGTTTTGGGACGATTTTGGCCTCTTCGGGGCCTCCTCGGGGAGCTCTTTGGCCACTTGGAGCCGTCTTGGGGCCGTCTTTGGGCCTCTTGGAACCATCTTGGGAGCCATCTCGAGCGATCTTGCGCTATCTTGAGCCATCTTGGAGCTCATCTTGGGCTCGCTGAGGCGCTCTTGGAGCCATCTTGGGGCCAAAAGAGCCGTCCGACCGCTCGGGGAACCCTCCGTCCAGGTCCAGGGGAGGGGGTAGGGGGAGGGGTAAACCCCTCCCCAAGGGGGAAGAGGGAGGGGTGGAAGAGGATCTGTTCTAGACCACCTACGCCCAGAGGGCTGGTGGGATTCAACAGTGATTTAAAACATAGTGGGGACGGTTTTTTGTCAAACAATGTTTGACTTTTTTTTGACAATGGTTGATTTTTCGTCCAAAATCTGCCTGTAGGGGGACACGCCCGACCTACGGGTTGGTTTGGGTTGCGTCGCATTGCGGTTTCAGCTCCGGTTTTTTTTAGCCCAGCGCCGTGCATTTTCTCGGCAAGGCCAGCGCCAGAACATGGGGACCAATTTGGGGCATTTTGGGCGGGCCGTCTTGAAGACAAACAAGCGCGCACGAGACCAAACAATGCACGGCGAAGGGACGTCCGAGTGGTGGACAGGAATTCCGAACCCAGGAGACTGTTTTTGTAGGGTCTGGCGGCAGCCCAGTCTATCACGCCCGCCCGCCCCTCCCTGCCCTCCGATAGCCTGGCCCTATCGGGCTGCGCAGGTCCGAAGGGGGTGCGCCGTGCCGGTGCGCGCGTGGGGCTGCACCGAGCGATGGGGTGCGCTGGCCCGAAGGGGGTGCGCAGTGTTGGTGCGCACGTGGAGCTGCACAGAGCGAGAAGGTTAGGCTATCGGCGGGCACCTCCCCCCAGCGGATAACCTGGGCTGTCGCCGAACAGGGCATGAGCCGAATTTGTTTTGTTCGAGCACGGAACGCGCGTTGTGTGGCCTCCAACCCGCCCGCCCACCCCCGTTGCAGCAGCGCCCGTTGCTTCGCGCGCACGCTTGCTGGTCGTAGTGCGCGCGCAACGTGTTTGCAGTGTGCGCAGGCATGTGCTTGTGGTATGTAGAGGAGCGTGGTGCGCGCAAGCATCTGTGGCACACGCACGCACACAGGCGCAGCGGTGCACTCAAACTGGAGGAGACAAACAGTTCGGTGTCCATAGTGCACGCGCCGGCTGCGGCGGCAGTTGTGGTGCACACTTGCGTAGTGGTGTTTACAAGTATGGTATACACCGGTACTGTTGTGCGCGCAGGCAAAGGGGGTAGGGTTCGTCCCCGTGGCCAAAAAAAAACAAGGAGCACAAACAAGTTGCATATTGAATGTGGTACGTTCGGGCCGGCCATGAGTTGTTGGAGTTCGACAATGTCGGGCGCCTGGAGGTGTACGCGGGTTCTGTTGTGTACGCGGGCACTGTGATGTACATGCTGGCGGCGTACCCAGACACAGGGATGCATTCGTACGCAACCACAGGGGTGCGCAGAGTTTTTTTCGTGGGCTGCCAAGGGGCGAGCGGTACTCCGGTGAATGGTGCGCCACAACCTCTGGGAACAATTCCTGTACTACCACCGTGCCGACCACGGCGCAGTAACCACCCTGTGACCCCGTAGTGACCAGTTTACTGGGCGCTAGGAGGAGGGGGGGCGGGGAGGAGGAGGAGGAGGAGGAGGAGGAGGAGGAGGAGGAGGAGGAGGAGGAGAACGAGCACGACGGGGAGGACGAGGAAGACGAGGAGGACGAGGACGACGAGGACGACGGGAATATGCGGGGGGGCAACAAAGGGAAGGGAGGAATTTGAGCCCCTGTTCCATTCTTGGGCGCACTCTTGGGTTTATCCTGGGGTGCCTGTCGCGGTTTCCTGGGGGCGTTTTGGGGGGAGGAATCCTCGCAGTGTCGGTTGGTGGTCACCAGTATGGGAGCCCTTGGGCAGTCTCGGGCGTTTCTTCGGTCGTTCCGAGGCCGTGTTGAGCCGCGCTGGAACCCTTTTGGGGGCCTCGTGGGCCAGGGCATTATCGGACGAAGCCGCGGCACAAGTGAGGCCGAAACGCCAAAGGTCCTCCCTCTCTGGAGGGATGTTTGGCGCCGCGGCCCCACGCAGTTTGAAAAACTTGCCAGGGTGGTCTGCAGGCGGCCAGCAACAAAAACATAGCCACAACAAACTTTCAGATTTAATTTGGTACGTTTCCCTACGAACATGAGTTTCGGTTGATGGACCTCGTCGGGACCCTCGAAATGTACGCAGGCTTTGCGGTGTACATATACAGTGTGGTTCACGCAGGCTCCCGTCGCCGCGCTGCGCGCGGCTGCTGTGGTGCGCAAGCGGGTCGTGTTGTACACAGGCGCTGTTGTGCACGCGGAACATGCTTCTGTGGCCGCAGCTGCATTGTGCAACGGCGTTGTGGCGTACGCGTTCGTTGTTGTGTACACATGTGCTGCTGGAAACAGGAACACCGCTCTCAGAAAAAAACGAGCGGCCGGGCACGACTGTGTTATGTTGTGTGCCAGCGAACCCACCCACCCAACCAGCCACATCACGCGATTCTGGGCGGTCCACGTCTCCTGGCGGCGCCTTCGGCGCCGCCCCTGGCGCGCTCCGCGCGTCAGCTGACCAGAGCGCGGGAGCCAGCGCTGACCCAAGAAAGCCGTGTTAATCGTTGAAAGTTTCTCTTCATGCAGTCTGTTCGTTGTCTCTTCTTGTGGCCAGGGAGTGGTTCCCCATATATTCTGGAGCGGAGGCGCGCAGAGAAGGGTCCGGGCGAGGGGGCCGGACTTTTGAGCGGTCAGCCCGCCTCTCGGAGGCCCTCTTGTCTTCTTAGAGTCTTTCCTTGCACTCGCCCCGCCCTCGTTTGGCTCCTGGTGCCGGAGATTTGAACCGGCTCGTCCACGACGACAGCCGCTCGTATGCTTAAGTAGCCAGGCAAGGGTTGACTGGCCAGCACGATTCTGCGACTCATCTCCTGCGAGGCAGCTGCTCATGGGGTGTTCTTTGCATCGCGAAACAGACGCTCCTCGGCACCATCCAGGCATGATGGGCTTATTTCCCACCACCACTACCATAGGTAGGAGGAGGAAGAGGAGGAGGAGGAGGAGGAGGAGGAGGAGGACCTCCCAATCCTCCCTTCTCCCCCGCCCTACCTATGGTAGTGGTGATGCTGGCAAATTGGCCCACCCAGGCATGCTTATACTATGTGTGCGTCGGCTCCGCAGTGGCGACGCGCATACTCGGTGGTTTTCCAGTGTAGGCTCCTTGGCGGCCGCTTTCTGGCCACGTCGGTCGGGAAACGAATCCGACCGGTTGTTGAAAGCAGGTCAGGGTGAGGGGGCCGAACAGTCATTCATTGTCCCTGGCTGCGTGGCTGAAGTGAGAATCCGTGGTGCGGATTATGCCTGTTGCGTTGTTGTTGTTGTTGTTGATGTTGTTGTTGATGTTGATGATGACGTTGTTGCTGCTGTTGTTGCTGTTGTTGTTGATGTTGTTTATGTTGTTGTTGTTGTTGTTGTTGTTGTTGTTGTTGTTGTGGTTGTTGTTGTTGTTGGTGTTGTCGTTGTTGTTGATGTTGTTGTTGTTGATGTTGTTGTTGTTGTTGTTGTTGTTGTTGTTGTTCTTGTTGTTGTTGTTGTGGTTGTTGTTGTTGTGGTTGTTGTTGTTGTTGTTGTTGTTGTCGTCGTACCCCCCGCGACCCACCCGCGACCCATCCCGCGACCAACTCCGCGACCCACCCCGCGACCCACCCCGCGACCCACCCCGCGACCCACCCCGCGACCCACCCCGCGACTCACCCCGCGACCCACCTGCGACCCACCACGCGACCCACCCGCGACCCACCCGCGACCCACCCCTCTCGCAGACTGCCGACGTCCCCACCGCCCCCTTACTCTGATCCGCATCTGCGGGGTGCCACGTATTTTTGGAGTCCCAGGTACCAATCTACTTTCAGCGCCTTTCTACTTCAATGATCGAGTGGCTTCCACCTTTTCCGTCCTCCCAAGGGGGTGGACGGAACCCAATCACTTCTCAGCGCCTTCTTACTTCATGGTGATACCTGTTTCTGTTTCTTCCGACCCATGGGTGTACCATGATGTCTGTGTTGCACGTTCGCGTCGGACGTGCGCCTCCAACATCAGCACATCGTACCGGCATGCCCCTCGGCGTCGGCTTCTGCTTGATTGCCAGCAGGAGTTCCAGATCTACCAGGACCTCATCCTCGATGTAGCGAAGGGGCTGCCCGCAGCGCGGCGCACTGTGTAGCCGCGGAGCTCTTCAGCCGTTCCTCATCTCCCCAGACCCCCGACGCCCTGATGTTTCCAATGCGGGGTCCCCAGAAGTCTCGGCCCGTTCCCCGGGCCCCGGCTTTCCATCCCGAGCCGTTTTTTGGACGGTCTCGAGGGCCGGCATACGGCCCCCCAGAGGCCGAACATAGCAAACAAAACCTCCGGTCGTGACTTTTTCATTGCACATTGTTCGTTCTGACTCTGCGAAGGTTCTTTCATTTTTTTGGGGGCCAAGATCCTTTCATTTCTAATTGTTCTATCCTGGGCCTCTTCCTGGCCACTAGGGGGCCAGGAACAATTAGAAACGAGCACACTTAGAAATGAGCACGATTAGAAATGAACGACGTGTACCCGAGGGAGTCTTGGTCTGCTCTTCGGACCAGCGCCCGAGTCTGTGTGCTCCTCACCTCTTCCTCACCAGCTGGCTGCGCTGCCGCGCGACTCCGCCACCGCGCTCCGAGAGGCATCCGAGTGGCGCCCAAAGACGACGGTGCGAGAAATTGTTCAGACGGCTCCGGGACTGCGCAGCCAGCCACGCGACGCTGGGGGCAGAGACACAGGAGGCCCAAGGAGGGCCCGCCAGCAGCTCTTGAGCGACCCTTCGGCGAGGCTTGCGCAGCAGGGGCCCCGGAGTGAAAGCTACGCGACGAACGACCATTCGGATGTGGACTCGGGGCGAGTTGAGTATGTCGAGGCATGGGCCATGTCATGTGGAGATCAGTCGCCGACACGCCAGGCGGAGCTCAGTCTTACCGCCCTCTGCACGAGCATAGTGAGCATACGTCGCACGCGGCACGGGCTGTCATAACCGGAGATTCAGGACAATTGTTTCATCAAGGCATCGGTTCATGGGTATGGTCAGTTTTTTGCACGGTGCCCGCGGCGTCCAGTGACAAATTGGTCCAGAGAAAGCTGTTCGACAAAGGAATTCAACGTGCATCGATTTGATGTTTGGCGCCATGTTTGCGATCGGCTTCATGGTGCAATCGGATACACATTTTCGAATATCGCGCATGCGATGTGGTAATTGCGGCACTGAAGGGATAATGACGTATCAAATTGAAGACATGCGGCGGTCTACGCCCCGAACGCTTCAACGATCGGCAATCCGATGAGGCTTCTGCTCTAGGGGAAGCCCCTAACGGTCGGCAAAGCGGAACTGTGTTGAGCCCATTAGGTTCGACTTCCGATTTTTTGCCATACAGTCGTCCTCTCCTCCCTCCAACCATCTGCGAGGCGATTGTGTCAGACATACCTTTGGGCATATGTTTCCTGGCTGAGACCACGGCCTCCAGTCTGTGCCCCTAATGGACACGGGCGTGCTCCCCAGCGGGACGCGCACGGATCCGGCTTTCCTCTCGTCTCGTCCTCGTGGTCGTTATGCATGTTTCTTCCGCGCAGTTCTCCTGGTCATCTTTGCTTTCAGTTCGTCCTGTAAGGCATTCGCCTCCTGGTCGTCCTCCTTGTCGAACCATCCCAGTAGACAGAAGCGGCGTTGCCCGTTCTTACCTGGTCAGGCTTTCAATGCTCAGTGCAGAACGCGAAGGGGCTCGAGAACAACCGCTGGGTGCTTGCGACGCGGTAGCGGATTTGTCCCCAAGTGTGTTCTTGTCAATATGCCTGTTCTGTGGGGAACTGCTGCGTATGTGGAGAATGCCCCTTGCGCTTGTCTCCCCGTGGAGAGCAATCGCGTCTAGATGTGCAGTGAGGTGCCCACGAAGTGTACAGAGCATCGGAACACCCACGGAAAAAGGCGCCATCCAATCCTGGCTTTCATCTGTTTCTGCTCCATTCAATGCAGTGGCAGTCTCTACTGTAATATTTGTAGGTGGCAATTGGTGGCGATATTCTGCCATTACATCCTTTGCAGATACTAGCTTCCTGTACTATCGCCACCCCCTGACCCAGAGCTCGGCTGGGTCGGAGGTTGCGATGGCTTCTTGGAGCATTCTTGTTAATTGCAATTGCTCCATGAGGACATGAGGCGTGCTCTGCGTATGAAGACGCTCTCGCGCGCATCCTGGTGCAACCAGGGGCATGGACGGGAATCATTGGTTTGTCGCTTTCTGTACAGGCGAATGGTACATCGCATCGTGTGGATGCCACAATGTTTGAGAGGTGCCTCTGCTGACCAGAAGCTCGTGGGTTGCCGTTTGCGGGTGCGGAGCAACGGGGAGGAGGTTTGCGTCAGGGTCCTTGCCGCCTTTGTGCAGCGGGCGAGGCGCTTGTATCGGGAGCGGTTGTTCTTGTACGCATGGGCAGTCGTCCTGTTGCTTGCGCGCATTACGCGCCAGGGTTTGTTGCTGACGTCGCCTCTTGGCGGGGAGGCGAGGAGGCCATGGAGGGGAAGGACGGCGTGAAGGAATGGCCGAATGGCCCATCGGTCCAGGAGGTCCGGCGTCCAAGTCCGGCCGCGAGCTCTCAATCCTAGACGCTTCGCGTAGCCCCAACAGCCCATCCAGAAGCGATGCCCAGGCGAGCTGCCCTGATCAGGCACGTGGAGCAGCATGCAGTGGAATCCATGGCCGGGGAAGTCGCTGTACGAGGAGGAATCGGAGGAGGGGGAGGAGGAGGGGGATGGGCAAGGGGTAGGGGGGAAGGAGGACCGAGAGTCAGGAACAGGCGCAGGGGGAAGAGGAGGAAGAGGAGGACAGAAGGGCCAGAGGCCTCTTGAATATGTCTCGGAGTCTCTTCGGAGGTCTCTTGAGAGTATCTTGGGGCTTGGGGTCGTATTGGAGCGTTTTCGGGCCTCTTGGCGATCCCAGGGGCCTCGTGGAGCGTCTTTGATGCCTCGGGAGATCCTCTAGGAGTTTTTTGGATGGTCTCTTGGGAGCCTCTCGGGGACCTCTTGGGGCATCTTGGAGCCTCCTGGGCACCCCTTGGGGCCCTCTCGGGGCCGTCTTGGGGCACTCTTGGGAGCTTTGGGGGCCATCTTGGGGTCATCTTGGAGGAGATCGATCAAATAAGGGGGGGGAGTCAATTAGACATCCATCAGGAGGCCAAAATTGGTCCCAAGCATTCGTAACATCAGTGATTGTTGCCTTCTCGCCGAGTTTTTTTTTTTTTTTGACGCTCTGATCGGTCGCGGGGCGCCCCGTCCAGGTCAAGGGTAGGGGGTATGGGGAGGGGCCACCCCTGGGTGTTGGATGGGGAAGCGCTCTAAACCACTCACGCCCTGACGGGCTGGTGGTATGACAATGTCGTGCTGAGGCTCTTGAGGTGATGCACACCTCTGTCGACGTCGGGTGGGGCGCATTGGCTCACTCATCCTTGGAGCTCGGTGCTGGTGAATGTTCGGGAAGCCCGGCCTCTTGATTCGGGAGGCGAAAACCCACTCCCACCCCCAGTCCCGACGCCCATCCCCGAGCCGGCGATTCAAGGGGTCGGGACTGGGGGTGGGGGTGAGTTCTCTCCATTCCTGGACCCCGAAAACCCACCCCCACCCCCAATCCCGACTCCTTGAATCGCGGGTTCGGGGATGGGGTCGGGACTGGGGGTGGGGGTGGGTTTTCGTTTTCTCATTGATGAAACTGGTGCGCGGACCACATTTAGTAGCTGGGTTTGGTGGTGTCAGGCTTTCGGGGGTTGCCGCTGCGTCGACGAGTGGTTCCTCGCGTTCTAGATCCCATGCGTCGGCGGCATTGGGATAAGGGACGTCTTTCTGGGGCCCAGACCCTGGCGCATTCCTAATTGTTTCAAGGCGAGGTGGGTGACCCTCGTTTGGCCGCCCATCGGTCGCGAGACCCTGGGTTCCTTGTCGCAGGCATCCTTCTCTAAAACCTCCACCGTATACCCCGCTCCTCACGTCGGAGGTGGTGCGAGCCGCGAGTGCACTGGCGAGGGGTTTGTGGAGGGGTGGAGGAGGCGGGACTTCAGCGTGATGACGAAGCAGAGCTAACGCGTACATAGTGTTCATTTCTGAGTATTCGAAAGTTTTTTGATTTTGTTGGGGGGCCGAGATTTTTTCATTTCTAATTGTTCTATCCTGGGCCTCTTCCTATCCACTGGGGTGCCAGGAACAGTTAGAAACGCGCAGAATAAGAAATGAGCACGATTAGAAATGAACGACGTGTATTCCGATCATTGCGCGGCCCCCGAAACAATTCGGATTCAAATGTGGTAAGTCAGTTTCGCATCCCAGGGGTGTCTGTCGATTCCGAAAAGATCTGGGACTACGCTGTCCAAGTTGATGCGTTGCCAGTCGGAGGGGCGACACTTTGAGGAATTGCGGAAGGTACCTGTTTCGCACCCCAGGTGAGTTTTTCGATGTTGGGAAAACTGTGCGACTATATGCTTCCCAAGTTGATACGTTGTCAGTTTGAGGGGCGAAGCGGTGAGGAATTATGTAAAACACCTACCTTGCGCATCTCTTGGTCGCCGCTAGCCTGGTTCAAAGCCAAGCGCCTCCCACTGAGCGTACCCCGAACCTCTACGCACAAGCAGGAGGTGATGATGCGACAGGCGCTTATTTTTGTTGCTTGCTGAATTGGAAGCGATGACGACGATGACGATATGCCGGCGACGATTGTTCACGATGACGATTGGGTTCACAGTGGCGATGCCGAGGGTGATTATCGTGGTGATTGGGGTGGTGCTGGCGGTGGTAGTGGGTACGCTACGGACTAAGGGGGGTGGAGAGAGGAAGGATGAGGAGTAGGAGGAGGAGGATGATGAGGAGGAGGAGGAGGAAGACGAGGAGGAGGAGGAGGAGGAGGAAGGCAAGGAGGTGTATGAGGAGGAGGAGGAGTTGGAGTAGTAGGAGGAGGGGCAGGAGGAGGAAGACGAGGAGGAGGAGGAGGAGGAGGAGGAGGAGGAGGAGGAGTGAAGCGCGAGCCACTGGAACAGGAAGGGGAGGAGGAACGGAGGAAGGGAAGTGGAAGGACGAGCAGGACGGGGCGGAGAGCGCACATCGAACACGTGCGGTTGTCCCAGCTTGTTGCTTCGTGTGTCCCTGCGCTTCCGTCCTGCCACGCGGCATTCCACACGTGGAGCGGCATCCATCGAGCGTCAGCGCTGTACAGGAGGAGGAGAGGAGGAGAGGAGAGGAGGAGGAGGAGGAGGAGGAGGAGGAGGAGGAGGAGGAGAGGAGGAGGAGAGGAGGAGGAGGAGGAGGAGGAGAGGAGGAGGAGGAGGAGGAGGAGGAGGAGGAGGGAGGAGGAGGAGGAGGAGGAGGAGGAGGAGGGAGGAGGAGGAGGAGGAGGAGGAGGAGGAGGAGGAGGAGGAGGAGGAGGATGAGGAGTAGGAGGAGGGAGGAGGAGGAGGAGGAGGGAGGGGAGGAGGAGGAGGATGGAGGAGGAGAGGAGGAGGAGGAGGAGGGAGGAGGAGAGGAGGAGGAAGGAGGAGGAGGAGGAGGAGGAGGAGGAGGAGGAGGAGGGAGAGGGAGGAGGAGGAGGAGGAGGAGACCCGTCAGGCGATGGCTCCGATGGGGCTGACTCGCGCAGGGAGGCTCCAGGCCGCCCTCCTTCGGTGTTCTCCGCCCGCGCGCCTGCCAAGCTGCTGCGCGCTGCTGCCCTGCAACCTTCAGCCGACGAGCACAGTGGAGGCCCGACCACAGAGAAACCGCCCACCGGAAGCCCAGCCCTGAGACCCCAGGACGCCCATCGATTTTCTGGTGTGGGCCCGCCGCTCCCTCCACGGCAACACCGCCGAGGCCCAGGAAACCCAGGGCACCCTGGAGGCGAGCAGGGTGCTTCTTGGCAGGGGCCTCTATTGCACATGGCCTGCACGCAGACTTTTCCGGATCTCCGCGCGGAGTGCTCCGACCGGCGCTCTGGGCCCTCCCGTGGCGACGGCTCCGGCCCCGCCCCCGGGCGCGCGGACCTCCGAGAGTGTATGCTCATGCAGTTGTTTGTTTCTGGTTGATCTCTTCTCCTCCTCCTCCTCCTCTTCCTCCTCCTCCTCTTCCTCCTCCTCCTCCTCCTCCTTTTCCTCCTCCTCTTCCTCTTCTTCCTCCTCTTCCTCCTCCTCCTCTTCCTCCTCCTCCTCCTCCTCTTCCTCCTCCTTCTCCTCTTCCTCCTCCTCCTCCTTCTCCTCCTCCTCCTCCTCCTCCTCCTTGTCTCTCTATTCGGCGCCCCCGCTGCTCGTGCTATATTTGATATCTTCTGGTAGCCGACTCGGATTGTGTTCCGTCGCGAGTTCCTTTCGCCGTTCTTCCCTTTGGGCTGTCAGGGCAGTTAATGTTGCACCTCTTGGAGCCCTTGTTCCTGTATGAGCATCATGCTGAACTATGAGCAATCGTGCGTACTTCGATTCGCTGTCCACGCTATGCGACATCTTGTGGATCCCTCCACTCCCGATTTCTGTGATGCCTTCCCTCTTCCGATGGGCCTCATCTCCCTGACTGTCCTTGGCTGCGTTTTGCCTTCAGAACTAAGTCGCCATTCACCTCTTGGATTGCGCTTACTGTTTTTCTGTTGTTGTTATTAGTTTTGCCTACGATATGCATGTTCCGTAGCAGGAAATCGTGGGTGCTCGCGGTTCCTCGTCCTCGCCGTTGTTTGGCAATGGCGGCCCCTGGCGTTGCCTGTTGTTCTTTGGCGTTGACAAGCAATTTCGAGCAATGCCAAGCAATGCCAATCAATGCCAAGCAACTCTAAGCAATTACGCCAAGCAATGCCAAGCATTGCCAAGCAATGCCAAGCACCGCCCTGCAATGCCAAGTAATGCCAGGCATTGCAAAACAATGCCAAGCAATACCCAGCACTGCCAAGCAATGCCAAACATCACCAGGCAACGATTCCAAGCACTGCGAGCAATGTCAAGCAACCATTCCACGCAACGCCAAGCCTTGTCAAGCAACGCCAAGCAATGCCAAACAACCGTTTCAAGCAACTCTGAGCAATGTCACGCAACTATTCCACGCTATGCTAGGCAACTCCAAGCAATGCCAAGCACTGCAAACACGAAGCAATTCAAGACATGCATTGCGTTGCATCGCTTTATATTGCTCAGAACTGCCTGGCCTTGCGTAGGAACATACCCCCAATTTGGGTCGCCCTGGGTTCTTTCTGTAGTCTGTCATAGCGTCGTTTGGTACAGACATGCCAAGATGCAGGAGGTTCAGCGTATGTAGGCATGCGGGAGGGCATGGTTATCCAGGTAACTGCGGCAAGATTCGTCACCGTGCCAGTGCTGGACTTTCGTGTGGCGACCCCAGGAGAAACGCCCCGAATGATACAACCGGTGGTAGTTCTCGTTCTCAGGGTCCAGAGTGCCGTGTCACGTACTGTGCGTTTCTGCAGGCTTGAAGGGGCATGGTATTGGATGCCTTCAGGGCCACGTCAATCGTAGCATGTGACGTCTTTCATCCGCGTGTACAGCTGGGCCCATAGGGCAACCGAGACCTATCCCTCGCTGGGTGTTGCCATCGTCGCAGCTGCTGCTGCAACTTTCATGAGCGCCTGGGAGGTCTATCAGGGTGAGGCCCACCGCGTCCAAACAACGAGTCCTCGCCCTCCCTGGGCGTCGTCGATCGCGCAACTATTGAGTTTCTGGGAAGTCCTGCGTGGGGCGGTGCCACGGGGACTCATGAGACCTCGCCTTCCCTGGGTGGCGCCAATTGCGCAGTCGTTGCCACTTTCGTGAGCTTGTCGGGGGTCCCTCGAGGCGGCGTCTTACGGGGACCCAAACGATACCTCGCCTTCCCTGGCTCGGTTGTTCTACTCTCACCCTCCTGCTGTACAGGCCCATCTCCCACCATCCAGGCCCCTTCTCCATCCTTCCTTCCCTCCTCCCCGCCCCTGCCACATGCCCACCTGCCCCTTCCCACTTCAATCTGTCCCTGTCTCCCGTTGCCTTTTCTCTGGCCGCTCGTCGCTTGTGAGGCGAATCCTCAAGATGCGTACCTGGCAGTGGACTTCTCGGACACTGGTGGTGGCGCGTGCAATGGTGCCGTTACTGCTTTCAGCTAAGGGGCAGCGAGGTGAGAGAAGGGCACGGAGGACGCCGATGGTCGAAATTAGAGACTATTGTTGACCCCCCCCTTCCGGTGCCCCTGATATTTTTCAAGGGACGTGCTGCCCAAGGGCTCGCGCCCGATCTTTGATCAGGGAAAGTATTGAGGCTCTAACTGCGGTGCTGTTTCCCGGGCTACGACAGCAACGGTTCCCGCAGAACACGACCTTGCAATTTATTAAATTCGCGCTCTCGCTCCAGACTTCCCCAGCATTTACTCAGGAATCGCGCTCTAGCCTGGGACTTCCTTGCCATCCACCGAGGCGCTGTGCTCTCGTCGTCCAGGAATCGCGCTCTCGCACGAGGCCTCCTCAAAAATGTTACCAGGACTCGTGCTCTCGCCGGATGCTCCACGAACTTTGCTCCAGTGCACCGCCCGCCCGGACCCGCCCGCTGGGGCCCACCCGCCCGACCCGCCTGCCGACCCGCCCGTCAGGGCCCGCCCGCTCGCCGTCTTGGAAGCCCGTCGGCCCGCCCCGACGTCCCACCCGGCCCCTCCCGTGGGGCTCCGCCCGCCCGACCTGCCCGCGAGAGGGTCCGCCCGCCCGACCCGCCGTCCGCCCGAGACCCCGCTCGCCCGCTGGGGTGCCCCCGCGAGCCCGACGAGACTCGCTGTCCGCGGACGACGCGCATGCACCGTGCCTCCCCCCCCGCCAGACCACCCCAATCCAACCCGAAGGCTCAGATTTACCCTCGATTTCCAGGGAGGGGGGTCGGGGAACATCGAAAAAACACATGTGGAGCCCTTACCCCCCCCCCAACCCGAAATTCGGGTCTTTGGGTTGGGTTGGGGTGGTCTGGTAGGTAGTCAGTGCCGCGCTGGCGTCGCCCCCCAGGCGTCGACGACCCTCGACCCGGGAACGGCACGGTGCATGGGCTGTTCGGCCCGCGGGGCCACACAAGTGTGCAGGGTGTCCGGCTTGAATAATCGGGGGCGGAAAAGAGGGGGGTGATGACCAGGGGGGGGTGGATATCATGGCGGGGGTCATGGTATTTCCCCAGATGTCATGGCGCCTCTTCTTATTTCATTGCGTCCCTGGTCCCCCCGCTGGGCCGCGCACATGCCGCCGGTCATGATTTGCACCCCCCCCTGTTGGACACGGCCCCTCTTGGCCGCTCCCGAAATAAGGAACACGTGCTTTTCAAAAGGGGTTCGGTCGTTCCCGTGGTTTGCACGCGTTCCGCTACCTTTTTTTTGGCGGCGAGGCCCCCTGGTGCTCCCTCGGACTTCCTAGACTTACTTGGAACAAAAAGGGGCTTCGTTCCTTATCTGTCGTTCCTTAGGTCTCGCCGAATGCTGTACACCGCACCGCGTGGGAGCGGGCCGGAAGGGCATCCAGACATGGTGCGTTGCATGGGCTCCGTTCTCGTGCGTCAGGGGTCCACTCGCCGGACCCGCCCGTGAGGGCAGGCCCGCCCGTCGGTGCCCGCTGGCCAAGAGTCGTGTTCCTCTCTCCCTCGAGCAGTGGCGAAGCGTCCCAGCTTTCCTCAGCCACGTGCAGAGGGGGTGGGGGGAGGGGGGAGGGCTTCTTAGAAGCACCCCTGCTTCCGAGAAGGCGCGAGGCTTATCTATAGATGTAAGGCCGGCGCCTTCTGAGAAGCAGCTCCCTCCACACCCTTGAGCGCGCCGCCAATTTCCTTCAGGCCCACAAGAGAATGTTCTAAGAACCTTTTGCGGTCTGCACGAGATGTTCTGAGAACATTTTTCTGGCTGGGACCGTTTTGTTTTAGCACATCGGGCTCATGTTCTACCAACGCTGTTTTTGTCATCAGAACAGGTTGGGGTTCTGAGAGCATATCGTGGTGGGCCTATAGGATTGCCTGGACGGTCGGTCCCTCAGCTCCTGCGCCCCTGTTGCCAGAGAGCTTCTTCGCTCTCGGCTGTCCTCCCTGCGTCTTGCCTCCCTCCGTGGTCGTTTCCTCCCTGCCTCGCTCTCCTCCCTTATCCTTCTCCCTCCTCCTCCTCCTCCTCCTCCTCCTCGCTCTCCTCCTCCTCCTCGCTCTCCTCCTCCTCCTCCTCCTCCTCCTTTTCGCTCCCCCTCCTCCTATTTTAGCTGCCGCGCGAAGTATACGTGGCACGCAAGGGAGATGTACCCCAAAACGGGTAATTACGATCGAAGACGAAGAGGGCGGTCATCGAGGAATTAAGGTGTACATGCTGAATGGCACGCGAGCGACGAAGAGCGATCAGTCTTACAATGATGGTTGTTGTTGATGTTAACGGAGCTGATGATGAGAATGATGACTATAGTAAGGCTGAGGATGAGGAAGTGGAGGAACAACAACAGCAGCAGCAACAACGTCAACGGTGGTATGGGATCAATCCGATGAGTCGGAGCTGGAAATCAAATGATGGTCCTAAGTAAAACTGGATTGGGCCAGCCAGAGCCGTGCTGGCCCGCCTTGGGCAACGTCAGAGAAGTAGGACGAGGAGGAGTGGTGGCGTTTACCTGCCACCTTGACTCATGCTGCCGTTGCCGTCTTTCCATTGCGCCTGCTTTAGCAATGAACGCATGGCGAACCCGTGATAATGGTTGCGATTGCGCTCTTGCATGCGCTCACATAGCATGCGCCATATTCGACAGTATGCGTTTATACGAGGCTATGTTGGTTGAGTGATATGCGTGATGCGCACGTTCCCCCTTGCCCTCTATCCTTGCTACTCCCTCCTCCTTCCGTTGTATCCCCTCCAGTTTCCTCCCATTCTCAACTCGTCCTCATCCTCCCCTCATCCTTGCTTCCCGTCCTTCCTTTCTGTCCTCCATTTTACTTTCTCCTCATCCTCTCCTCTTCGTCCTCCTGTCTGCTGCTTCTGTCGCTGCTGCTCCTCCTCCAGCCTTGCTCGGTCGACTTCGGGCCCGATGCATGCGAGCTCCCCTCGCTCCTTGTTGCGCATCTTCAGGTTCATCCATGTACGATTACCTCGACGCGCAGACGGAGGCAGGAGACGGCTCCGACAGCTGGTCGGCCCTGGCTGGGTCAATCGAGGGGTCGTAGGATGAAGTCGGGCCTGTCCCTCTACAGGGGGAATATCCCAAAATAGTAAGAAAATAGTCCGGGGACTATTTTTTGACCATTTTGGATTATTTTTTGAGTATTTTTTATTTTTCGTCGAACATCCCCCTGTAGGGGGACACGCCCGACCTAAGGGTCGTAGGGAGGGCCAAGTATTGGTGTGGAGCTTTCCTACGCCCTTGGCGTGTCGACTGCACGCGCTCAGCCCCGAATCGATTGGGATAGTTTTTGCCAGCGAGGCTGGAGCTGCCTCGACTGCGTAACGTCTGCGCGTGCTGCACGGAGCTCATTTCGGGCCGAGCGAAAGGGGGTGATATAGGGGGCCACGTGCGAACCCTGCCCCTGCCCCCCCCACGATTTCTGAGGGGGGAGGGTGGGGTTCACTCCGCTCGGGAGCTCCCGAGCGAAGGGAGCCCCACCCTCCCCCTCAGAAATCGTGGGGGGTAGGGGTAGGGTTCGCATGAGGCCCACCACACAATGTCCTGAGAACCTGCTGTGGTCTCCACGAAAGGTTCTCAGAACATGTCTGGCCGGAACCGTCTTGTTTTAACACGTCGGGAACATCATGTTCAAAGAGCCTTGTTTTTGTTCTCAGAGCATTTCTGGGTTCTAAGGACATCTCGTGGTAGGCTTATAGGACTGCTGGGTCGGTCGGTCCCTGCTCAAAGCAAAGGGTTGTGATGGCGCTTCCAGCCATCGAGAACAGAAGAACTCCCAACGCAGAGGAGGAAAGGGTACCCATACCTCCACCCTCCCTGGTTTTCCCCTGTTTGGGCCTCCTGGGCGGCCCTCGTCGCCACAGCTGGCTTCGCCTCCAAATCCTGGTCAGAACGCACCCCGGGAGAGGTCAAGGCAGTAGCGGTATCGGTACCTTTTGATATCCCCACTAACCCTAAGGTCCCACTTAGGTCCCACTTAGGTTCCCGTTTTTACCTCAGGGGCAGTACATCTGGGCGGTCTGGCTTGATACATCTGCAGAAAAAAAAGAGGCCCGCTGATCAATAATGTTTCTGGCCCTGCGGGCTTAGGCCAACCCACCCAAAGGGTTGGGGGTATTTTGGTTGCTTATCATCCAGGTCCACGCTCGGGATGTCTTCGTGGAAGACCTCCTTCGTCGGCGAGCAGCTGGGCATGCCCCGCGTCGGCAGCGCGGCGCCCCCGGATGACCTGGCCACAGGCTTCCCCGCGCCTTGCCCGCATGTTTTCGCACCACCACCCGTCCTCCTGCCGTCTGTGGCTACTCCAGATTTCGTAATAAAGGGAGGGGGGTCTCATTTCGGGGGGGGTCTCTTCCAGGCTATCTTGGAGGGCCTGGGGGGGTCTGGGGACGATGTTTTGGAGGGTTCTCCCACGGGGGGGGTCTGAAATGGCTTGTCTTGGAGGGTCCAGACCCCCTCCCTTTTACTACGAAATCTGGAGTACCCTTGTGCACCAGGGGTCGACCTAAACGGTGTTCTGGCCATGTTTTCGTCTCGATTCCGCTTTGCAGCAGAGGCGGATCCAAGACAGAACGGGGGAAAACGAAC